TTTTCAGCATGGAATAAACCTATTACTTGTCCCTATAATCCTAGAATGTCCAAGAAATCGTTCTGCTATTCACTAGTTGAAGTGACTGCGTAAACATTTCTGATGAGACACTCAGGGAAAATGTCTCATTGGACTTCCAAGTGCTCTTTGTGAAAATAACAACCACCCGTAATTATAAAGGCAGTATTTTAAGTATTTTGAGATTCATGAACTCTCTCAATGATCTTTTCCAGTCATTTTTGAACTAATACATTAATCAGCAGCATTTATTATATTATTTTGGTTATATTTTTTGAGATAACTCTTTTTTTTATATAAAGTTGGACAGCTTGGTGCTTTAGGTGTTTTTTGATTGGGAGGTGAATGGTTATTTTACATTATGTGCACAACAACAATAAAATGAATAATGATTTCCTGTTTGGTAACTGAAGAATTCTTTTAGTGCTGGGCAGTGACAAAATGCTGTTTTTAAATGGCACCAATTAATCAATGTCTTCTTTTTTTTTTCTTAGCTATATTACAACTAATTTAACTACTGCTTTAATTCTTAACTAGTACCTAAAACGCTCTTTTCATAGTTAAAACAGCTTTAGAATAACTGAATTTCTTTTTGTTCTTTTATATACTGAGAAAAAAAAGTTGGTTACTAAGGGACTTATATACATTACCTGCTGTTAGATTTCCATATTCGTTAAGACAAAGAGCTGGTGCTATAAGCCTTTTCCTTCCTATCTACACTAAAAACCCAACCGTTCTCTTGTCACGACTTAAACCAGTACATTAAATAAGAACTTTACTGCTTCTGAACACCTCAAATTTTCCTGTTCAGGAAAATCAGTTGTGTTTTTTCTTGCAATATTAGTGCAACTGAGAATTACCTTTGCAAATAAGAATTGCTCGACTTCCAGTGCTTTCTAATTCCACTTTTCCTTACTCTTACTGCTTTAACAATAGTATTAGAATGTTTCCTATGATATTGGAAAAACATGCAGTCTCACGGCACCAACAGGAAATTCCATGGAGCATCATGAACAATTCTGAACATGTTCTATTAATCATTTTTTTCTTTGCCTTTTTCGCCTCAGACATTTACAAGAGAGGGCAGGTATTTCAAAGAAAAAGAAACCCAACTAAGTACTCTAGTCTAGAATTGTACCTTTTATTTATTCCCAAGATTTGAAATGAAAAAATTTTGATGTTGATACAAGGTTCTTAAACTTTAAAGTTGGAAGAAAGTTAGTCAATCAACACTTGGTAAAAAACCATTTAATCTCAGAATCATCAATATTTCTCAGGTAACATTTACTAGATTTAAAACTTAAATTTACAGAAAAAGTGGAACTTGAGAAGTTGATTTTCTTCCAAGTTCGAAATGTATAAGTTACCAAAGCAAGCCAGTTATTGACTAGCAGTTTAATAGTCTCCAAATGTATTCAACTGGAGTTTAACAAAGTTAGTTACTAAGTAGGTAACTGCATCAGCACACACAAGATGCAAACGAACAAGTAAAGGTTTATTCTATGCTGAAAAGATCTGAAATTAAAGGACTCTGTCTTTAGAAGCAGAGATGGCTAAAAAACAAAAAAAACAAAAAAAAACAAAAAACACTCTAGCTTGAATGTGGTGGTCACTACATTCAATGCAGAGCAAACAGCTGTTACCAGGAAAAGGACAATTTACACTCGCAGGTTTTGAAAGCTAACCCACTCCCATAGATACTTGTGGGGCATACAATCTCCAGGCTGCTATTTAAGGCTGATCTCAATGGGGTATCTTCAGCCTGTTCTATAGCAACACAAAAGGCAAAATTGGTAAAGCAAGTAACTACTTGGCTTTGTATTCAAAATAGCACCAGGTGTTGTAGGTGGACAACAATTCCAGGACCTATTTTGCATTAGGGTGCCTTTGCCTCTTCAGCTCCACCAAAGAGAGCTAAGCAGTGAAAAGATTCCAAACTCTACAAATTCATGGCCCAAAACTTATTTCTTCTCTCATACAGTCACATGGTGGCATATGCTTATTGTGTGGTCCAACATTTATCACAGGCTTAACAGCTGCAACTATACAGGGTTAGGAATAGGACATACAATCTCTAGAGGTGCTGTATGCACACTGAACTAAAGACCAATTTCCAGGGGTTCACATTTGAACACTAACTTTTTGGCAGATATTATGGTTAGACATGGAATACTAAAGATCATGAAGGTCTTTAGTTGCAAAATAGACACCAGGCAATGGCAATTTAGGTTGTGTCCGTTTTTCTGGTCTTCAGTATAACGGAATTGAGGGAAGCCTGCATCAGGAAATAATTGCCAAAGTACGTATCCAAAGGGTCTCTGCAGCTGTTGTAGCACAATAATCCCTTTTCACTTCTAGCATGCAACAGGAAATACACTTAAACCTTGTGAATTTGTAAAACTGAATGAAGAACAAAAAGATACCACCAAGCAATTAATGGTAAAACTTTATTGGAACACACAAGTACAAAACATTCATTCTGTACACTGCACAGAACGGGGAAAAAAACCTGACAAAATAAGATCTGTGCACTGTGAAAGAGACCGCTGTCATCTCCACTAGGACCTCTATAATTTACAAGACAAAAAACTGAAAGAATCAAGTTTAAAAAAAAAAACAAAAAAAATCACTAAAACAAGCAGCATTGCAACAATGCCCTGGGATAATTTGTAAAATCACCAGAAGGTAAGATATGGTTTGTGGTTTGTCCCAGCCTCATTAAGGCTGTAAATAACACCATGATCCTTTGAATCTTGCAAAGATTGTTTAAAACTCAGCTTGCCTCACATAGATCACACCAGTGGGTAACTTGCAGCTGTAGCAATTCCACAGTGATTGTTTCGGTCTTTAGCCATGTAGATGTAGCCTTTGTTGCCCCATTTATCACTCCAGCTGTGAACAAAAAGGAAGCAGGTTAGCACTGTGCTCAATCATGTATAGGAACAAAAAAAAAAAAAGCATTTTGGCCATGGAGCCTTCTTCAGGTGCGAGGGCTTACATTTGAAGAAGGCTCCACGGCCAAAATGTTTTCCTTCTTTTTTCAGCATGGAATAAACCTATTACTACTTTTGCAGCCTACACATGCTGACGCAGCTACCCACCTGAACTACTCAATCATGTATATACATCAACTGCCATTGCTTGGGGAGCTAAGGACCTTCTATTATTTTAGTTAGCATTGAAAAACACTGAAGGATTGCAATTTTGTCTGCCCTCAATGCTAAAACGCAACCCCCCCTCCAAGTAGACATACAATCTGCCATAAAGCAATGTGAAAGAATGAATCAATCAGCTCTTAACCACTGAAACAAGCCAGGCAATAGTGAAGGATATTTTCCACAGTGCTATTCACATGCAGCCAATTCCAATCCATACTTGGCTTCAGAACTACTTAATTGGGCTAAGGGGTTTGGAGTGCATCATTTACCTGTTCTTCACAATCCAGTATTTCTTTCCATCTTCATCTTTTCCTTCAAATCCATAGCCTACAGCCAGAACACCATGGTCCAGATCTTGACTGCTGCATTCTTTTTCATAATAGATACCTGAAACGAACAATTAGGACATATTGGATGAAAAAGTACTAAGCACTCAACCAGCATAAGCTCTGTAGCATATATATCTTTGATTTGTTACAAAATGTGGTTCAGCCGCATTAAATATTACACTGGGGGGGGGAGAAAATGTTTCACATACTCATGCTCACTTTAATTGGATCTAATTTAGACATCGGTGACTTTTCTTACCAGACTGATAGAACTGGAAGGATTGATGGCCAGCATCAATAGCAACAGAAACTGGCCCAAAAGCAGCCACTGCCTTCATTAGAGCATGCTCTTTACCACTGGGAATGTCCACAAAGCCAGTGTCATTGACAGCGCTGTTCTGTGGATCATAACGACAGGGCTGGTCATCCTATGGAAAAAAAAAAAAAAAAGTGAAGATCATGCATCATGAAGGCTGAGAATATCATTAGCACTGCATCTGCAACCTTTATTCAACAAGAGAAAATTTACAAGCGTGAGCCGAGTTCCAGTGTCAAAGCAACAGTAAAGGTGATCAAACCTCAAACATATTGAGAGTAAACATTTTTTCAGTAAAGCAGTAGGGTGGCCTGAACTTTACCGTTTGTAAGAATCTTTTTTAAACTGCCCCTGTAACAAACCATAGTTTTACAGAAATAGGGTGATGCAAAGACTGGAGATATAATAGTCACACTTGATGGCATACATATTTTATGAAAGAAGGTTACAAGAACACTTACAGTTCCAATGTATGGGTAGGATTCCTCGGAATCCAAGCCACTGTTGTCCTTGACATACCGAAAGGCCTGATCCATGAGACCACCATTGCAGCCCTCGTTGCCCTCTGGACGAGAGCAGTCCACAAGGTTCTGCTCACTCAGAGAGACCAGCTTTCCAGTCTTCCTGAACTGCTGGCCTTCCAAGGCACCTGTAGCACTGAATGCCCAACAGGAACCACACTGACCCTGGAAGAAAATACATGGGGCATTTTAAAGACTACAGCTGCAACACAAACCAAATTTTTGATACTTAGGCATATGGGTCCCATCTTTACAGATCACATTCCTAAATTGATTTCCATTTCTGCTTCTTAACACAAAGATTGAGAAAATGCACAAAAGATGTGGAATTGTAACCATTAAGAAAAGACCTTGGGTATTTTCTAAATAAAATTAAGTACCCTTATCTTTAGGCCATTGCATCTGGTTTTGTATATGTTTCAGATTTAAAAAAAAAGCATTGATACTGTAACCATATTACAGCAGCATTTCAAGTCTGCTTTATTAGTAAAACGGTAGCTACAGTATTTGGCCTTTAAGGAGGAAAGACATGCAAGCTCCTTACCTGATCCTTCACTGGAGTGACATACCCTTTCTCTCTCCAGTCAACCTGGCGGGGGGCTTCCAGGAAGTTGGGTTCAAGGAACATGGAGCCCTTCAGCTTTCTCTCCACAGATGGCTTGCGTTTGTATCCATTCATCAGCTGTCTGAACTCCTCAGTTGTCTGTAGAGCAACCAGAAAAAAAAAAAAATCTTTCAGGGTTTACCATACGAGGTGGACAAAATGTCTACATGGGCAGAAATTCAGATGTACAAGAAATACATTCACAAAATGTTAAATACCAGCAAAACGCAGAGATCCACACGCACAAAATTCAGATTCCTTACCATATCACCAAAGTGGTTCATCCCCAGCCTAAACGAGTGTTTGCCCAGCGAATGTTCAAGATTATGCAACTCAATCTTTTTCAAGTTCTTTTCCCAGACCACTCGCCTCCAACCTTCTTCTTTCTATGAAAAGACGGAAAACAGTGAGGTTTAGTAGTTATTAATGCCTAACTGGGAATCATGTGAATTGTGGAGACCCAGTAAGTTCAGTAGAATATCCATTTTACACATTTGAAGTAATTCATTGTTTTGCAGCATTATTTGACACCAAGCCTGCAAATAACATCACAAGTCTAAGCAGCAGAATGAAAAGTACAACACACTGCAATACTGATCTGCTTAACTAAATCCTTCTCTAGGAAGGAATTAAATATTCAGATTGTAACTTAAGTTCAGGACCACTTCACCAGATTCTCAAACAGTGTGAAATGTAAGCGCTTAGCAGGAAAGATTTAACCACACTACTGAGAATAGCATAATTCACAAGCAAAATAAAAATACTATAAAAATACTGGAGTCTACCCTAAAGAAAATGGAGCAATAAGAAGAATAATGAAAATCTGTGCTAGTGCTGTAAAAACTAGTTAGACCAAATCCCACCTTGAGAATTTAAACAAGTCTGTTTTACAAATCATATCCAATCATTGGAATTTAAACTGTAATGGAACCGAGATGGGGACAATGTAAAGCTAGGCAGAATAAAAGTTACTAAAAAATTTGAATAAAGAGTTTTTATCGCCACATTTGCAATTCCTTCACATTTCCATGCCTGAAAATCTTACCTCATGATATTTTTTACTGTGCCAGTTCTTCCAAAGTTCCCAGTGCTCATCCAACTGAGGGTCTAGACTTGGAGCGGCAGAGACCGCGCTAAAGCACAGCAAAAGGAGACTCAGATCTAGATGCATGGTGGAATATCTGGGGAAGAGGGAGAAAAAAAAAATTAGCTTTCGCATAAAACGAACACGTTGGTCTTTTGAAAGACCAACCTTAAGTTACCTGAATGTTAACGACGTATTAGTGTATGCATTATGAGGCCGAAATATACGGCAGAAGTAAACAGGATTTTATTTAAAAAATAATAATCGTGCGTTCTAGGCAAAGTTTAACTGAAGTGATCCATTTAACACGCACGCAGAATGAGAACTGGTCCCAATTGATAAACTTATCTATAACAAACAGGAATCTACAAAGCACCTTAGAGGGGGGGGGGAGGATTTGGGAGGCACTCAAACAGGACGGTTTCAGGCCGAATTCGAGGGACAAAAATGCAACAGAACAAAATGCCAAATTTAACCAGTAAGAAATGCGCAATACCTAGTTTGTATTTTTTGTGCATTTACCGTAAAACCACGTCGCGAGCCCATCTATTAGATGACTCAGACAGAGGCCTCTTTCCTAGGAACAGCTTGTTTTTGTTCAGCCACAGATCACGAGATCGGGCGTTCCCAAGCAGCTGGCTGAATCATTTCCCAGGGAACAAAACCTGAAGTCACTTCCAAACGCAACCCGAAAAGGAAACGGATACTAAATATCAGCTTCAACACACAACAGCGCGTGTAGCCGGTAGTTTTGAATCGTCTTAAGTCACGTATTAATTTTAATTAAGGACAATGCATTGCCTTCAAGATTACAGCCACCAACGAACTGGCGTCCGAAACAACTGCAAACCCAACAAAGCCATCCCGACATATACAATCAAGGAATACGTACACATTTAGAGTCCGATTCATTATCTCATAGTAATGAATTGAACATTCTACAATACTATATACGTGACCAAATTGTAATTATGCTTTGGCACGTTGTATAGAATCCACTGATCTAGTAATTATAAATGTTAATTCGACTCAAGGCATTTGAAAACACCTAAACGCAACCTGAATAAAACGTTTAGGCCAAATTCATACAAGGAATTACAAAAAAAATAAATAAATAAAGCTTATTTAAAATTTGAACCACTCACCTCTCCTTTACAACGTTGAGAATGTCCTGGTTTGTACACACTGCAACTTTATACAACGAGTTTGCACACAGCTCAGCCGCTGGATTCTCTCATTGGCTGGAAGATCCTTATCCAACAGCAGGATCCACCCCCGACCCCCTTCCCCGCACGTGATTTCACTTCACGTGGCGAACTGTGTCCCACACTAAAGCTGCTATCTTTTGGGAATGTTTCATTTGGGGGGGGGGAGACAGGAAAAATATAACACGGGAAACGAAAACGTTTCCTCGTTTATATTATAATTGAAATAACCTCTGATTATAATTTAATGGAGGTTTCAAGTCTGTACATATACAATATGCAAATATTATTTATAATAATTAACACGATTTAAAGTAATTATAATGTATTGTTTCAAATCTTATTTTTAAAAGTGTCATCGCAGGTGAAGGAAAAATGCTATCACTCCTGCAGGGTTTTCTTTTTATTCAGTGCAGAAAACTTATTGATTGATTCAGTGAAGAAAATGTGTTCATGTATTAATAGGAAAACAATCACTTCATCCTCCATGTAATAACACCTTAAGTTTTGGGTGCGATCTCCATGTGACGACCATCACATGGTTTAGGTTGAGAAATGTAGCCACGTCGTTGATTCGGTTCAGAAAAACAAACGCCAGCAAGAACATTTTCTTCAAATCACTCTATCATGTTATAATTAAAGTACTACATTTAGAAATGCAGTTAGTGGAATAACCCTTAGACACCATAGCTAACTATTCAGTGACTGAAAGCTGTTTAGGATTAAGTTGCTTTGAGAGTTAATCTTTGACAGGCATATTTCAAAGTTTTCTCAAAGCTACACTCTTATTTGCCCTTCTTTTTCTGAAAAGTGGTGAAAATGTTCAGTAACATTCCTATGGAAGCAGTGTGGTAGACCTATAAAAAACGATTTGGAGAAATACATCAGTCTTTCATTTTACATATCACTGTAATAAAACCTTATTTCTTCTGGATATTCTGGTAACTGAACAAATATTTTAATGTTTTACATTCATAACACAATTAATAGTGGGCTTCTACTATTCATTTATGCACAGATATTTGGACTCTCACAGACATTTAACAAAATCTCACAAATATATTTAAAAGGAGAATTTTGTGCCATACTGTACAGCACCTATTCTGATGACATGTTCTTAGATTTTGATGAAGTGGCAACAAGGACATGTTACATGTGTTGCTTTATCAGTGATTCTAGAAATAACAGAATTTTAAATATATACACAACAGAAAACCAACAAGTCATTTTTAAACTTCCAGCTATTAGGATCCTGAAACTGCTGTTTGAGAGGCATCAGGTTGGAATTCCTTGCAACAAAGGCTGTTTTGCATTAAGCTAAAGTGTTTATACTGAAAGATTAACTTTTAGATGAGATACAGTACAGTATTAATGGATTGAATAGTAACATTTTCTATTTCACATTGTTAAAAAACATTAAGCAAAATCATTATAGATCCCCTCACACAAGGTGGCATAATTTCATGATAAATAATTTTCATTTTGAAGAAAAACTACAGCTTTACATTTGGTTCCCAGATGTTTGGGTATTCTGCTGGCAATGCAACTGGAAATGTGCTCGTGCAACTTCTTGAGCAACTTCTGACAAGGAAATGACTTCTGTTCTTTTTAGGTCAATACCTAACAGTTCAGCATCTCCTGTAGTGTGATTATGAGTAATGGTAACACACTGTACATTACTAATACCAACACTCCTGCAAATACAATTTACATTCCCAAAAGAATGTAAGCCAAGGTTTTCAATTTAACTTGTAAAATGCCCAGACTCCATTTTCAAGTGATGTAAGCAGATGTGACAGGTACTGTATATGATTGCTCTGGTTTTCTGCACATTTAAGGTCTGCAGCCTGGTAAACAGTAAGGCTTGTCTAGGCTCATCTGCATTGTAAAACTGACACCCGTGCAAGAAGCCTTCTTGTTGGATCAACAAAATCAGTGTTTAGTAAATAAATACATTAGGAATTGGGATACATAGTTTGAATTGAGCTTAAACCTTCAGTGGTCAGAGGGATAGCAACATTAGCAACAAGATGAAATAAAGATCCAGCTTGTTATAAAATGCAAAGCGTTTTTAATCTTTTTTTATCTGTAGGCAGTGAGGCACACTGGAAGTCAGCATTATAAATATAGACATTGATCTCACTAATTTCAGTGCAATAAAATCAACACACAATATTACACAATATTTGCCATTGTACTCTAATGTTGCATATCAGCCTTAAAATATTGTTAAAGAAGAATATTTGCAAATGTAATTGATGTGCACATACAGTCCCTTCAGTAGCTCAGTTTTTAGTAGCTAATTAGCTAGAACTCGTCCAGCAGGTATCTTGAAAGAACTGATGACATTGACAACAGGGATGGCCGGCTTGATCCAGACTTCCATAAATGTTTGTGTAAAAAGTGCTTCTGGTTCTTAGTTTTAAATGCATTTCCTTGACTTCATCACTGCCTTTAAGGATTCTGAATGCTTGCATCAACCATTTTTGTCTCTTCCATTTAAGAATACAAAAGTTCTTTAGTCAGTGGCTGGGCATTCCTCTTAGCTTGAAAATGTACTTTGTTTTTTGTAACAACATTATCAAACTCTACAAAATATTATATATAAAGTCTTACTGGTGGTTTTTACAATTTTGACATTCCTTGATATAGAACCTATAAGTAAACTATATACTGACTTTCTGTTGACCTTTTTCATTCTTTCCTTACATTATCTGGTCATTTTCATATAGTAGGTAGCTTCTTCATGCTCAAGAGTTCCCATTTTATATTTAAAGTTAATTGTTTTGCTACAGTACTTTGCACATGTCTATATTAAATGTCATTTGTCTTACGTTTACCAAGTCTTAGATTTTGTCAAAAGTCTTTTAGACTTTCCTTTGCAGGTGCTACACTATTTGATAAAACACGTATTTTGGCATCATCCTAAATTTTCATATTGTATTAATTTAACAAAATCACCGATCTAAATCAAGAAGAGCTGTGGTGATAATCCTAATGCTGATTCCTGTGCTAATTACGCTAATTTTGAGCATTCGTCCCAATTCTAATCAATTCTTAATCTACTACCTGCAATTTGTAAATTAATCGTCATACATGACACAAACCGCCTTCCTTTTTCAGAGGATGTAGGAGTTCAGTTAAATTGCAAATGAACTTACAGGTGCCCTTAACAACTCTTTTTAAAAGAGAATATTGTCTCTAAAGATCAAATTAAGTGCACTTTCTTCCTCACTACGTTACTTTTGCGACTAACACCGAATGCACACCAGAAGCATCACGTCAGCGCAGTGTAAGCGACCATGCGTCCAATCCACACCAACTCCGACAGAAAACTTCCGATTTCGGGAAAACAGCCGAAGTTGGACGACCTGTAATTGCAGTGTAGTTGATTAAAACCCGACACGAGCGGTTGGACAAACGACACATCTCTGTTTATTGTGGCTAAACAACCACAATACTTTATCCGTGTCGGTGTCATCAGCTAGTTATTGTGCTCGTGACAACAAAATGAAACGTTGCACTGTATCAACGTACAGTACTCTGTGCCAGCATGCTCATAATATTGTTGTAGATTGTGCTTATATACTTCACAGGGACGTATAGAACATGTGAGTGTTGTTTGATTTGAATGTATTTCTATGGGGTTTTTGCTTGACTCGCGCGCGTAATTGGGGAAAAAATATACTCGAAGCGTAAAAAAATGCTGGAAGACGGAGGGAGCGGATGTGAGACGCACGTCTGGCGGAGCTGGTGTGGATCGAAACATTGGTTAAAATGGAAGCTTATCTGTTCCGCGAGACAGACGACTAAAAACGCTTCAGAAACGCTTTCGGTGTGAATTTGCCTTAATGGTATTGTTGAGAATCACCAACTTTTAAATAGAGAGAGCTAAAGTATGATACAAATCTTTGACAAGGCATCTGAATGTTGTGTAAAGTAAAACCTAAAAGGCAAGAGTGCCTATTATTTTAATTGAACATCTAGACGAACTCAACATTGAAAAGTAAAAAGTTTCAGCTGTGCAGTCTTCATGTTTTCTTAGCAGGACTCCACAGCCAAAACAGTCAGTGAGTTCTTGCCTTGATGCAGCCAATGCACATAAAATGCATTATATTTGAAAATGTGAAAACAAACAAGGGTTATCTCATGATGGTTTGGATTAAAAAAAGGTGGTCATTTGCTAGTCAAATTTCCAACTCAATACCCGATGAGACGTTTCCACTGTTAAGTAGAAAGCCTGTAGCACACAGAAAACTGCCATTAAGCAAAAGGTGTGTATATTGGGATTTATGTGCAAATTAAAGTCTGCGCTAATCAGAGCCTGCAGTTTGTATCTTTAAGAAATTTTTGACTAACAGTACAAAGTCTAGGATGATATGTATATGCTAAATGGGAGGGGTTGCTGACAACATTTAACTTTAAAACAACATAATTCTAGTTTCATAACCTTCATTGAATTTCCTTCAAGAATTTAAAAGGAGACTTTCTGTGTATCCCGTGTTTAATTGAACATTGCTAAATCAATCATGATTTCACATGACTAAAAAATATCAGCAAATGTTAAGCACCGAGATGGTTGCTTATAAGCTTCAGACTACAATCTTGAAAATTCAATGACTGTGATGTGGAACCGTGGTTATTATATCATCTTGGACTGAAGGTGAGGCATTCTTCTCCCATGTTGTTCACAGCAGAGCTGTAAAATGACACTTCCCCTGAAAGATGAGAACTGTAAGAGTCCACTTGATCACATGGAACATCTTTGGATGGCATCCAGAAGAACAGGAATCTACAATAGGGATTTATGAGCTATAAACATGCTTGTTATCTGAGAAATGCATGAAAAGCTATAATAAAAAAAAACACACCTTTCAAATTTAGTCATCATCTGGCCAATACAGAACACCATCCAACACAAAGAAACAAGGAACAGAATCTATGTCAGGGTAATAAGAGATTGTGATGAACTTGTAATAACTGATAAAAGATTTGAGTAGTGGTATGTCATGGTTATGATATCCATTTGATTTATCAGACAAGATCATTATACTAACATTGTTCTTAACCTGGTTTTGCAAACAATTCGAAGGAGTAAGCTGATTTCTATCTGTACACATTATAAGGCCCAGTAAATAGATGGCCACAAACTGTCCAGGAGGAATTACAATAATTACATTCTTGTTAATGGATGTAGAACTTTAACAAATGACTCGTAGATGAAGGCATCAGAAACTTTGGACTGTAAATGGTCCCAACCAATTGATACACCTGGTACAAAGCCAATAAATACATCGGCATACAACAAATACTTTGTATATTGATACAAAGCCAATAAATTCAGATTTTACTCTTATCACAAATCCATACTGGCATATTTGTTTAGATTGTGACTTCAACTCATGCTTCTGCAATGGTTCTTATATTTAATAATTTTCCATTCCTATGGGAACCGTTTATTTCTGGTGGGCGATCAGTTTCTAGTTTGTCCCAGTTTGAGACATTAGTAATGTTTAACCAGACTTGAGCATAAATTGACCGTGCTATTATAGATATCTGTCCACCATCTTTAATTATCAATCCACAAGTAAGAGCAACTCTGTGTTAAGCACTTCTAATGTCTATCTACAATATTTGTGTAATGTTTTTACTTTGATTTTAAGCTTAGCAATATACTTTATTCAGTTTTATCATATTTTGCATAGGTATCATATTTTCAGGTTGAGTTTCCAAAAGTATTTTCCAAAAGTTTTTGCAAATGATCTAAATCTGAGTTGATTCTGCACAATGAGGAAGCCAACTGTCTTTTTTTTACTAGCCAGATCAGCTTGTTTTTAACCTTATGAAACTATTCAGTACAGTACAAGTTCACAACATATTCAGTCCTTGAAGGATGACTGGTATCATCTCAAGGAAATTCCTCCTTACTGGGGCCCTGGATATAATTCCAGGCTTGGGGTGTTCACGTGTTTGCGTGGGTTCCCTTCCACAATTCAAAGACATGCTTCTAGGTTAACTGGCTTCTGGGTAAATTGGCCCTGGTGTGAGTGTGTTCGTATAAGTGTCCGTGTCTGTGTGTACCCTGCAATGGACTGGCATCCCGCCTTGCGTGAGTTGTTTCCTGGGATTGGCTCCGGCTTTACCCTGTTGGATAAAATGGTTAGAAAATAGGAGGAAATTTCATTTATCCATCCATCCATGGGTTCAGTGAGCCCTTCACTCTGCTGGTGAAACAGATTGACTTAAGTGCTCCCAATCTAAGAGTTGTATAACAGAGAAAGAGAGCTAGAATCAACAGTTCTTCAAACACATGACTCCGATCTGATGAATCATTACAATTTTTATGAAACATAGGCCTAACTAAATTTGCCTTCTGCACATTATAATATTCCTCATAAACACAAAACTGATTGGAATTGTAGGAGAATAATCAGGAACAAACACATTAGGTAAACAATTTATTATAAAAAGGTTTCTACGCTATAAAGTTTAAGAAAGCTTTAAGAACATGGCATTCCAAGACATGCTTAAAGAACTTAACATATAAATAGAACAAAAGTCTTGTGCAAAGAGACCACTGTACAAAGTTTTAAATAAACCTGTTCCCTTTTCTTTCAGATATACCCTCTCACTGTGTCTAAAAAAAGAGTGCAGTGAAACTTAAAAAAAAGAAACAAACTTCCATAGTGATTTTTTTTTTTTACACTGGGAAAAAGTCTTCCTCAAGCAAGTGAATTAAAGGTCTAGGGCTCCCCTAACAGGGGATGTTACCTTGTTGCAGGTTAGCCTATTGCAATAGTGGTACCCATATGAAGAACAAATGGTGGACAGAAGCACCATGCTGGAAGACACAACATTTGGTGTCTGCGTCAGGGATATAGAAACCTCTTTTAATGGGACCAGGGCCCTAAACACAATTCCACACTGCCCTGTTTGTTTTTCTTTATAAGGGTAAAATTGCTGTCAATTTTATTTTAAAACATGGTAAAAGGGTAATCGACCAGTACATAAAAAGGTACCATCTCCAAATAAAAGAGTAGAAACAGAGCCATTTGTTGTCTAGAGAAAAGAGTTTGGTAAGCACCCCTTTTATGATAGGCCTGTGAACATTAGACTAATAGGGAGGTAGAGGGCTTTGACTTAAAAAGATGATCAGCTATAAATAGTAAACCATCCTGTGAAAAGGCACTCAAATATTTTTAAACATGATATAGCAATAAGCGCTGCCAGGTATTTATATATAATTAATTTCATACTGCTTTAAGCATGTAATTTATTTTACATATAAAAAACATTAATACCCAATGATAAAAGATACCTCACTATAGGGTGCACACATTTCATTTTCATGGAATGGTCATATCAAAATGGCAGTATTATGCATGTGCTTTTAAGAATACAAACGATCGTTAAAATATTTTTCTACTGTTCTGGCTTGGCAAAAAAAAAACCTTTATAATCGTTTAATAAAAAAGGAGGGTAACAATGTAGAAAAACACTAGTTTCACAAATCTGAATTACCTTTCTTTGTTGTGACTGTTTTCAAAGGTATAAATCATCTGCTTAATATTAGAAAACTGGTTATGGTAGGGCTCTGTTCAGATTGCACTTAATTTCCCAAACCCTTCTTTATTTCATCGGGATATGACTGAGCTAATCGAGTTGTAGGATGTCCCCCCATTGCAAGTTGTTCCATATGTCTCTTGACCATTAACATCCAGGTTAACTTTGAACACGGTGGATGATTTTAAGAGAAAGTCTGCTGCGTCCCTGCGCCCCAGTTCCCTCAGCTTTGCCATGAAAATCCCCACTGTGCTTTCAGGGTTGGTGCTCCACTCCTGTATGAGAACAGCTGTGGGACTGGAATGAAACACGTCCTCCTCCTGAGTCCCATTTTGTGTGCTATATTTTGCAACCAGGTCCGTCAGACCAAGGTTCATGGCTAAGAGACACCAGTCTTTGCCCATTGAGTCTGGTGGATCCAAAAGTCGACTAAGTTTCCTTCTTACCAGTAGACTTGTGTCAGACATATGTATATCCATTCCCAGGCTTCCCTGATGGTATACCTCAGCACATCCAAAACTCAGGATGCTGCTGAAACTCTCTTTGTAGCCTCCCATGGTGTTGGCAAGGGAAGCCTCCCTCTGTGTTTGTGCCCTTAAAAAGTCTCTAGGCTGATAGACCATGATAGGCTCATGATGTTCTCTAAGTTGCTGTGGACTCAGGTAGTATTTCACAGTTAGGAGTCCTGGCACTGTAGTGGCCATTAAGTTATCAATAATGCTACATATCAAATCGAGTAGCATGTAACACTTTATCTTCTCAGGATCCATTCCTCTCACCTGGACTTCAATTCCTTGCCCATGGTTCACCAGCAACACCATGACCTCAGCCCCGCCGTGTGCTATTTTGACTCCATTTGTCCACAATCGGATGTCGTCTCCTTCGGGCTTTTGCTGGTGGCTCCACCTGCACAGGTTCACCTGCAGTTTGTGGAAGATGCCACAAGGGAAAGGGGTAAGGTGCTCAACAGGAACTATCCGCACGCCTCCATAGACCAGCACTTCATCCTCCTCGTCCTCCTCTGTCCAAGACCTGTGCATGCCGTTTGTTTTAATGAGAGCGGGGATATCCACCATCGTTGGGTTAGTAAGATCCCTGGCGCAGATATCCATAGCATCGAGAATCTGGATCAGCTCGTCTACGTCGTTCTCGGACACCAGGCTCTGGACCTCCTCTATTCTGTAGCGCCCCCGGTAGTGGTGTATGGCTTTAGGAGTCTCGACAGACAGGATCTTCCCTATCACGCAGGTACACAGCCACCGTGGATCCAGGAGAACCACGTCCTGGATGGTTTCACTCTGCATGATGTTGAGCTGTTTATAATAGAAGGACAACAAAACACACAAAATAAAGTCAGCTCTGGCACGCTTAGACACTGTAGCCAAACAATCTGCAAAGGACACTCCTGAACATGACATTTTTCTGGTACAGTATAAAGAAATATATTTTTAATCCTGTTCCTTACCCACTCCTAATTGTTCCTGCAATTTCTCAATTGTGTAAGATTTTCTCTCATTTTTCTCTCTCACACAACTGAACCTCAAATACTGCATTTGTTCTAGAGAGACATTTTTCCATTCCTTATCATTGCTACCGATAAACATTTCCAGTTAACAGAATATGTAAATAAATTGAATTAAATGGGATTCCTAATGCTATAGGAATATTAATCTTATTTATATCTGATTCAAATAGTCAATATAGTCTTTCTATATTCTATAGTATTGCTTAAACTAAAATATAAACTCCTGTTGTGTGTATTACTTGCAATGTCAAGCTGAAGCTGAGATTTATATTAGTCTGAGGAACAAGCTGAATAAATCTTGTGAAATATTTAAAAAATAAACTAAGTAAAATATTTCTTTTAAACAGGAGTAACTCAACAAATCAATATCTGATTTTTGTTATAACATGAAATGCACAAGATAAATCAGCCATTTTACATCAGGGCTAGTAGAAAACAGATTTTGTAAATTCTAGTCTTCTACGACTACAATTGACATCATTATGGTCTCTACGATAAAGCATGTCATTTAAATTTGTAAAAAAAAATGTCTCAATGGTTTAATGATTTGTGTAACGTGTGAGAAATGTGTTTTAACCGTGTTTCAGTGTTTTGGAGTTCTGAAGATATCTAGTATCTTACTAAAAAGTGTTGCAATTTTTGGAGACCCACAAAAACAGAATTTCCATAAAAGTAGGATTGTCAGGAAAACAAATATCTGAAAAAATTCTGCATTAAGAATGTATAGTTAGTCAATAAACCCATCTGAAGAGAGAAAATGTTAACAAGAGCTTTGTGGTTGATTATATGAGCATCCGTGACATCTAGTGGCCAAATGTAACCTATTCTTTAGACTTGACAATCTGCTATCTTTATACTTTGTTCCATAAGAAATTAAAGCAACTTGCATTTTTAACTTTAACACTATGCCTGAATCTATAGCTCTACATATCTTATATATGTCTTATATATGTACACACAGAAAACTTAACCTAGACAGTGCACATTTACAGTGATTACAGTTTACAGATGACACAGATCAGCCAATCGCTTGTCACAATTAGCCTGAAAAAGAAAAAGTGTGTATTGGACCCCAGTGTTCCTGCTACAGACTGGTCCTGTAAGCACATGACCAGCAGCTGGGGTTCAGAAACCACTTAATGACTGTACTAGAGCCTTCCAGTGACGACATGGTTGTTCCATGGTTACTGCCTGAGCCAAAGATCAATCATGGATCAATACAACACACAAGTGTGTCTGCTAAGCAAATAATAAAGAATGTATATCTAATTATACATAAATCAGTCTTGTTAATTTTGTTACATTATGTATGAGTAATAGAGAAAGTGCAATGTGCAGAGCTCTTTTTAGTTACATACACCAGTTGTGGCTTCTTCATTGCATAACTGGGCTATACTTACTTCTCCCATGCTGTGTAACTGGAGAGCCAAATCCCTCAAGTCATCCTCACTAATTAAGGGGTTAATTTGTTCTTGAATGTCAAAAACAAACTGTTGCCAGGACATCAGCTGGTTTGGCCCATTCATCTTTCTCCACGCAGGCAACGTAGAAATGATTTTCTCACAAAGTAATGTCATAGGTGGACATGACTAGGGAAGAAAAATACAGTTTTTGTAAATGTTAAATCATGGAACTGTCACTTAAATTTATATTGAAAACCTTTTCCCCAAACAATTGTGGTGAAAAAACTTTCAAATATAAAGCATATACAAAAACACTTACTGACTAGTCTCCAATAACTTCACATGCATCATTTAATTTTATAGACAGTTTGTCTACCAACACATTCATTATATGGTCTAGTCATCTAGTGGAATATAATTGGAAAGATGCAAAGTTACAGGTTCACTGACATTCTGAAGCAGCTCTTACTTTAAGGATAACAAAATGTTCTTATTCTCCTTTAAAAATTTTAAAAAACTAAGCACAAACCACAGTGTTCCTTTTTCAACATACCCCACAAATTCATGATGCTGTTATTATTATCTCATCTACTAAGTATTAACCATTAATTATTAAAACTAGTTATTATTCTAAGTAGCTTCAGGTCCACTTCAAACTTTCCATTGTTTAATCAAAGTCTTTACAAAATGATTTTCTTCCATAGTAATAATGACTTGAAGAAATACCACTTGATTTTATCGTAGCGAGTTGCAGAGAGTTGTAGGGGCTATTAAGAGTGCTATGATTGACTTGCTGGGGGTGTTACACTACACAACTGATGGTAACAGGTGTGCGCTGTGACTCTCTACAACTCACTGTTATTTTCTTACAATTATATAAACGAAGGCTACAACTGAAATCCTAGGAAAAGTCATGTAGTGTGATGCGGGCATTAGGTGAGGAATCTGGCAGAAACATTTTATTTTAAACAATGCTTTGAACTATACATTAAACACATTATTAAATGCCCAATTGTCTGCATAGTGTTGCTAATATTGGCACAAAGAAATACTTATGATACTGAGAAAATAATACACATTTATTACATTTAGATTGTGAAGAAAACAGCTGCATACAAAAAAAAGAACATTCATTACTACTTTGGTGGTATCACGCTACTGGCTTTCCAGTGAGTTATAGAATTGATTTTAAAATGTTCACTTGTTCCGAAATCCCTGAATGATTTGGCACCTGATTGTTCAATTCACGTTTTACATTACTCACTTATCACCCAGAGTGATATCTGCTAATGCTGGCTTGCTTTGTACTTTGTACTGGAAAGAAAGATCTTCCCTTTTGTTGCAATGCCCCAAGACTATGAAACTCCTGAAGCTTTTTCATTAACCACTCATTCTCCCACAAATGGAATTTTAAATATCTTAAAGCACACAATACTATTTTTACTGGGAATCATACCTCAAGTACAGTTTTAATTAAATTTTTAAGAATTGTAAATGAATCAAATAATTTGCAGTTATTCTAGTTGACAGCCACATTATTTTACAACTCAAAGGACTTCAAAAAAGTGTAAGTGTTGTGTTACACTCTGATACTATAAAAAATTAATTGTTTGGCATTGAGGCAGGATTCTCATCCTCATTTCATATTACTGTTACTTCCTCTAAACCCTATCAAATAAAACAAGGTAACTTACAGAAATTATAACATTTCTTAGCTCCTGCAGGTGATTTCTAAGAAGCTTCATGTCTTTAGAGTTCGATGCACCAGCATCTAGAACAAAGAGCCTTTCAGAAATCTGCAGATCATTCCCAAACCTACAAGAAATCAGATGTAAACATTCAAATTAAATCCAAAGTGCGTGTAAATAAGTTCTCATCTATACCATACCACCTACAGTATATGTACCCTTTGAAAATTTAAGTGCACTGCAAAGATGGAGAGAGCCAATCCCCCCATGGATAACAGGCATTGTACACATACACATGTGTTAAATAAGGAAGTGCTTTTTCATTTTTAACACAAATGATCAATGTATCAATGATGTCGGCAACCATATTATAAGATCTTTTCTTTTACAGACTTGCAAAACAACCTTTGAGGTTAGAAACAAGATACTGGAACAGGTTTATTTTTACTGTTAAAAAAGATCAACAAAGATTTTCAATAGTGTTTTGGGTTAAATTAAATGAAGACAGGAAAGACAGGTTACCTAGTTCTGACTTCTTTGAGCAAAGACAATTCCTTGTCATACCCAAACTCCCCTCCAAAGGCCCGAGGTAAATTCACAATATCAGCATGTGTGGCTACAAGCACAACTCGCAGTGGGTTCTTTATCCTTCCACCAAATGCTAAAAAATAAGTCAACGTAGAATGAACAAGAAATAAGCAATTGAAAACCAACTTAATGAATTACCAAGAATATTTAAACCTGTAAGATTGCAATTATGGAAAAATCACAAGTTTAAATTTTTATAAGCTGTATGGTAGACAGTTATCAATAAGTAAAAGTCAGACCTCTAAAGGTCACAAACCTAAAAGAATGCACTGAAGTCATTATAAGAGTAGCTGTGGTACTTACTGATAGTATTCTAATCAATACGTTTGTATCATTCATACATGCTATACAAAAGTATGAATGCATTTTATGCTACACTATACTTACACAATAATGAACCACCATCTAACTGAAAGTTATGGAAGCTTGGCTGAAATTATGAAAGTACATTAGAAAGAGAATGAGAGAGAAAATGGAAAACAGTGTAAACAATAAACAAAAATAAGAAAGCAGCATTTTAATTTTTGCAGTTGCCACCTGGTGGTTTTAAACTGAGATCTGAAGATCCCATGGAAGGTTTTTGAAATCCTACAGTTGTTAACTCAGTTATGCATGATAAATTCTCCTCTGCTCTTGTGCAATCTGAGCTCCCTAAATATTCTGCCTTAATTCAACTGAAATTGTATTTCCCTGTTTCTTTACCTGATCCGTTATATTCTAGGGCTGTTGGGTGACCATGGTGAAAATACGTAATGCACTCAAAGTGTAATGTATATGTAGGCTTTATTCAGAATGAAAATCCAAGCAAAGGGGTTTCTAGTGTCAGCTCAGCCAAAGCAAAAGAAAATGTAAAAGTCGATTCTGTGTTTTTAAGAGGGGGAAGCCGAAGGAGCTGCTTGTGTGACCAGTCAAACCGGAATATTGTGCCTGATTCCGGAGAGCTCCTCCAGGCACTGCAGCTGAAGGCATGAGGATGCAAGACAAGGAAAGGAAGTCAAAGGCTACTGATGGTGATGAAGATAAATAGGCTAAGCTGCACTGCTGTGTGCTCACAATGGGCAACTGCTTCAGAATAACATACCTATGGGTTCTTCTGGCAGGATTAAGGACTTGAGAAAGTTAAGCCAGAAAGTCACTTGATTGAGCTGGGTCTCGTAGGGTTCCTCCAAACTGAAAAGTATAACGTGAACTGCCGTGGTGTCATTTGCAGCAAAGTAATCATAGGAGCAGTAATATACAGGATTGCCAGAGAACTCCCACACGTTGAAATCACCCACACCTAAAAGACAAAAAAAATCCCAAAATACATTTTAACAAAACTATACATAGCATAAACATGTTTTTTTGTATCTTTTCCACAGTCAATCTTTCCAATTCTCTTGAGCTGCAATTTTCAATTTGGCTGCAACATTAAATTCACTGAGCAGCAACCCCATGTACTAATACAAATAGTTTAATTAAAAAAAGGGACTGAGCAAGCAGTTAAAAACGTTTACCTCTACTGAGTATCAGAGATATCTGGCTTTAAAATACTAAGCATGTTATCAGACTTGACCAGTTCTGTTTTACAAAGCACTGCTAGAAAAGATCTTTCTCAATAGCCATTTTAACCCTAATGCAGTATAACATACATACCATTAATGTTGGCATTCTGTATTTCAATTGCTTTGGTGGACTGGTCATCTGCAGCAGAGGAATTGTGCATTGGGGAAAAGACCTCCAGGACTCCCTTGGTCAGGCTGGGCTCAAACATCATACTGCGGCTTCTCACACTTACGTTTTCACAGCCAGGGTAGAGGTTTGAAATGCTCACTGAAACTGTGCACAACCACAGTGACTCATTGGTCAACAGAAATGTACAGTGTAAAATGTCCAAGAACCTTATCTTACTAGAATTCGTTTTCTTCCAAAGGTTAAGATGCAGCATTGAGAAGGTGTAAACCATTTAACTTTGTGACCATCGAAATCACAATATGGATTAACAGGTGTTTTTAAGAATTTGTAAACAGCACAGAAATGTAATACTCTTGCCAAAGTATTACACAGTTTCACACAGCAGATGGCACTCTCTCTTTGAAAACAAACCACCTCTTATAGCCTTGAAATCAGCTTAATGGAACACTTGTCTTAGTGATTTAACAAAATAAAAATATACTGAATTATGCCTCATGTTTCATTTTTATTTGAATAAGCTTTCTGTAAAATCATTGGACAAAAGGCCCCACAAGGATTTTTTTCTGCTTCAGTGTATTATGCTGTATCTATTGTGTCAATTCTCATGTTTTCAAAATACCCATTTAAAGTTATCACTGTAAACTACAGAAAAAGCTGAATGTTCATTAGACTACACCTGTATTTGACAAGATTTTTTTTCAGAATTTTAAAACAAATTCTGTAAGAAGAATTTATTTTAAAAATCTGCACCTGAAAATATATCATACTACCTGGACTTAACCTTTACTTGTTCCTCAACTGAATTATTATTGTTTTACAAATGCCGCCAGTCTTGAAACACTCAGGAGACTACCACGACAGACATGCTAATCATTATAGCCTGGGAAACAGGAATTTGAAGGACAACTCCAGGCATTCTGTTGCAATGAGATTTTCAATTCACAGGTGTTGCTTGCACAATTTACACAGTCATATGATAATGACTAGCATTCGAATTGACTGCTGGTATCATGAACAAAGAAGAAAAAAGAAAACAAATTTACCTCAAACTATGGTAATTGAAATGACTAAATTGCAAACAAATTTACATACACATGTTAGTAGGATAAATGTAAGGTAAATGTCTTAAAATTTCACTTTGGACAACTGATTGAGAATGATAATTAAAATCAGCCTGATAATTGGTATATGGACCAATTCAAACAGATAGCAGGTGTGTTCTTTCTGTGCTATTTTGGGACTATATTACTCCAGTGCACCACACAAAAAGTAATTTAGTGTTTATTTAATTTGTTGACATTCATCAATGAAATGAGAAATCAGTGCAGATGTGCAATTTTAGAGATTTGGAGATAAACAGAGGTTGCTAACTATTTCCATGTCACAATTGAAATAAATTGTCACAATAAATTGCGCCAATTGTTTTAAATTCTTTAAACAAGCCTGCATTGTTTCCTTCATAATTGACAACCTTAAAAAACTGAATTTCTTAGTTGATTAAATGAGATTCTGGTACAGGTACAAAACAAGAAAGTGGTGGGAACATTTAAAGCAATCTGTGAATCTACATGGATTTTTCATCATTCGATTTCTTAAAATATGACAGAAAAAATAAACGGGTAAAGCATTTCTAGGTGGGATAATTAAGGAGGTCACGCAACTATGAGCGGTACTTCACTCATAGGGAGCTGTTGCATACCTGTTGGCTTTGAGGACATGGGGGAAGGAGGAAACCTGCTGGAATTGGTGGAGGACAACCTGGGTCTGCGTCTCCTGAAGAAGCTTCTTAAAATCCCGCACCTGAGGGACTCGAGCAGGGTGGTCTTTCCTGAGCCAGAATGCCCAAAGAGTTTGAGCTTGATTCGGGGTTGTGGATTCTGTGTTGGTCTGAGCTGCTGGATGAAGCTTCCTTTGTGCGCATCCTGCAATAACCAGTTGCAGTGTGGAATTATTAAAGTAGGCATTCAACTAAATACAAACTTATCTTATATTAATTATGACAATTCAAAACCTTTTTTAATCTTTGCATTAGGTTAACCTGCAAAAGTTGCTTCTCTAAGGATTTAGCCTGATAGAAAAATACATTTGAAGTGAAAAAGTTAATCTTGAGCTTGATTAATGGAAGTAAAAGAGCAAGAGTCTTTTGCAGTCTGACAAAACAGCTTATAATAACCACTTAATTACCTTTTTAAGCCTCCCCAGCAAGATTGCAATATGTTCATGCTGTTCATTTCTTGCAAGATCCTCTGCTGTCTTTCCATCCTATTAAAAAGACAATTGATCTATTTAGAAACGTATCACATGCCAATTATTGTTCTGGGCCTTTTGAAGTAAATGTATAAACCTATCAAGCTTGGAGACGGTATGACAGGAGGATAAGCTATAACAATAGGTATCACTTGTTTTCATGGGGGTGTTTAAAGCTTAAAAAGTGAAAAGAGCCTACAGTGCAGAAAAATAAAGCCCTCTGTTTGATCATAATCATCATCACATAGAAGATGTATTAACTGTCACAAGGGCTCTTGCTGTGTTGTAACAGCCCACTACATACAGTGCAGTCAGAACAGTGTAACAACAGTGCTATTTTTTGCAACATGTCTAGGGCACTTTGACTGAATGAATAAATTAGTGTTATTAGCATCTGCAATACTGATTAACTAATGATTACAGTCTTTCAAAGGCAACTTCTAGGCAGTTAGTCGAAAGACCACTTTATTTGGGATTTCCATTTTTATCCGTTACTGTGGATCCTGTCTCTACCTCTTTAAATAAAAAAATAATATTGTTGCATCTTTAAAACCCTTATTCACTGCTGTCTCTTCTCCTAGAAAGTGACTTGCCCTATCGGGCACCAGTGTGTCTGAATTACCTAGATAAAACTAGTATTGAGGTGTTTGCATAGCTGCAGTGGTATCTAACTAGTTATCAGCCCAATTTGAATACTGACACAATGGTTGGATCACTTACCAAGCTCAAGCTGGGAGGTACACAAAAAGGAAAAAAAACAGATGTAATAAAAGAAGAAGAGAGTAAACTGCAGCCTACAACCAATGTTCACCTCTGGATTCCTCCTTAATGAACAAAAGTCTATCAACGATTAATTACTGAAGGGGCACAAGACTAAATTCAAGGAATAGTGATTTCACATTTCCTTTCGAAAATCCACCAGGCAGAGGTTGTCATTCTTGCCTGATTATTTGGATGCATTTTTGCTTCGGAGCAAACTTTTTTTTGCATTTGTGTAGAGGGAAGGCTCACCTGTGGAAGATTCGTTTGTAAAAGTAGTCTGCCCTACCCTTCTAAAAACTTGTTTATTTCTGAGTGCTTTACGGTAGTCAAACCAAGTAGGGATTTACTGGGAGAGGATTAAATGTGATGCGCTCTAAGCAATCTTTCTTATTGTGAATAGGAGTTTGTACAGTATATATTACTTTGTGTTTTTTTTCCCATAAATATCTTATAATATTTTTTTTACTGTAAATGTTGTGCTAAATGTTTTCTGCTTTTCTCGTTCATTGGTCACACCAATAAAGCCCTTTGAAATTGAATTCAATCAATCTTTGTCTTAAGGCATTCCATGTAAGGCATTCCTTTTTTATCTTATACCACCAAAGTACAGTATTCACAAAAGACTGAAAGAAACCATGTGACCTTGCTTTGTGTTTCTTGACTACTGTGAGAGTGTTATTAGTTAACTTTTATAAATAACTCAAACTGGTCTCAGGATTGACATCTTTTTTGAATAACTTCTACCAGCCACATTACATTAAAAAACAGCTGCCTCAAAATTTGTTATTTCATGTCATATCATCTATAAGTGTTACAGTACATTTATCGTTTGGGAAAAGAAAAATGAGAACATACAGCAACATATGATACCTTTATATGAAGAAATGCATACTTGAAAAATAATCAGGAAATCAATAAAAGAGAAAACCAAAGCAGGCTCAACTTGACTGTGATGACTCTTCATTTCAATATGCAATCACTTTACTTAGGGCTTTCTGTAGTCAATTAATGGGTACTGAAGCATGGAAGAAGCAGCAGCAGCATTAAAAAATATTCTGACAACTTACTGCTTAGGTCCTCCTCTTCTGTGCTCAAAGTAGCAAAGTGCTTTCTAATTGCAAATATTTTTTAGCAGCCCTAAAATATCAAATTGCTTACAGACTAAAGAAATATTAAAGCATCTAATAAAACAAATTGGTTCAGGTAAAATTCAGGATTAGTCAGTAATAAGTTTGTCTATGGTACTTACAGAATATGTGACCACGTAGCTTAAATTACAGCACTCACAAATTAGTAGATGGCAAAACAAATGTTTCTCAAACAGTATGTTACAGAAATTAAAGCACAGTGGGTGTAACTACTCGATACTCTATCTACGGTCTTTATATGTTCTAAATGAACAAACTACAAAACAGGAGACTGACTTTATGAGGAAAAAAAACACGTTTGCAATGTTAGTATACAAAAAGTTCTGATCTTAACATCTTTTTGACCCATGCACACCACTTACAGTATTATTTGAAATACATAGTATATTGGAAAAAAAACTGCCACCTATCCCCTGTGGTGTTATATGTGCTCAGTTTCTCAATTTTGACAAGTACACTGCTACTTTCATTTTGATGGATATGATACGGGAAACAAATAAAGGCTAATTCCCTCTGTGTCACATGGACATTACTTTATTATTGATAGCACTCATCCAGAAGGCACTGGATTTGAGGTAATCAGTGAAAGAATCCTCAGGTTTATTGTTCATTCAGTGAAAATCAACCATAAACCAAGTCCCTGAATGATACTCCTGATTTTCCAAGCGCTATCACAGAGTGCAGTTTGTCCAATTGAAGTCCTTGTTGAAAAGGACTAGAACAATCTTTTGTAAGCTTACTTGTGTCCTTCAGCTGTATCAAGAAGGGCATCGGTTTACAGTCTGAAATTCTGCCTTTTTGTACTTCTTCAAGGTAAATAAAGAAATACAGAACATACAATAGGAAACAATGAAACTTTCATAAAATAAATTACAAAAATATACTATTTATACAATTGAAAAATAGCTGCATCGCTCCAGAAATATCAATGATCAATACCTTAGATTTTCTAATACTTAAGAGTTATCTGCATTTTCCTATATACACTACACCTTTCTTGAGAAATTCTGTTTGATTCTCTACTGATGACCTATACAATCTTTTGTCTAATTTAAATATTTAAATTTAAAACAATCTCTAAACTAAATTCTGATAAGTAAAAGTAAGTTTTGATCACAATTTTAGAAGAGGGAACTAAACTACTGCATGTTAGTACACTACTGTTTAAACTATTACTGTAGGTCTTAATTATTACCTATCCTACATAAAATAAAAATCTTTGTTTAAGCAGGTGGTCAGATTAAGAAGGAAAGACTTAAAAACAAACGATTATATGAAATAAAACAACCTGATATGGTGCATAAATACTCAGTTTCTCACAGGTGGTTGAGAAGGTTAAATTTATTATTTTTTTAAATTACATATTCCATTAAAACGGATTAATTTTTGTTTCTGTTTTTAGCTAACACTTACATTGGTGACAGCATCTATGTTAGCACCAGCAACACAGAGGTAGCGAACAGCATCAAGGCATCCATTGTTAGCTGCTAAATGCAGTGGGGTTCTTCCATACTGTAAGAATTAAATACAGATTAATATTGTGAAACAGACTAATTAATCAGAATTAAATAATTATAAAAAGCATAGGAGATATTAATACTTTACATTCTTTCATATTTTACCATACCAGGTTGAAGCTGTCGCTATAATAGCTAATTATGTGGGAAATTATGCAATCATAAAGGATAAATGTCATCACAGAAAAGTATTTTTTCTTTAAAAGATACTAATTCCAGATGTGCCTAAGATTCTTTACTTGCAGAAGTAGACTCATTTCTCAAAAGATCAGCTTAGGTTCACACAGCCCTCTGGCATAATGGAATCTGTGTTTTAAAGAGCATGAAGAGCTGTTCCTCTCAGCCATCAAATTCAAGAACACAAAATAGAAAGAGAGGTTATAGTGGAAATACTAACGGTAGACTACTACTGTACATGTATGCAAAATAATCTTTTCTCTACTTACTTTATTTGGAATATCCAGGCTACACTTTGCATCACAAAGAGACAGCAGAATGGGGACATTGCCGTCCTTGCAGGCAATATGCAGTGGAGTGTTTCCATGGCGGTCCTGTACATCCACATAGCAGCCATGACTGATGAGGCACTTCACCACGTCAATCTGACACCTTCGCACTGCTAGGTGCAGCGCTATATGCCCATCCTAAAACAAAACCAAGCATGAGCTTTATTATCAATGCCAAAATATGCCGCAAATTGAATGGAATTTATCGCTTAGAACTGCGACAAATGCAGTTACTATTAGTAACTAATAAAAGTTACTATCAGGAAGATGCAGCGTTAATTTAGTCACCAGTTTTTGATTTACTTGGTCTTAGCCATGTTGATTAAAATGTTTAATAGTCATAGTCACATTTTAGTCACACATTTTATCTAGTTGAATACATTTTTAATATAATTATTTTTAGTTGACTAAAAGTCAAACCTATTAAAAATAAAAATGAGTTTTAACATTTAAGCAGTTTAATTTGAATATATATAATAAAATGTATAAAGGTTTCAGTTTTATTCATTTTTAGATTAAAATGAATGAATTCTTTAGTTTCTTTTTAATCTTTGAATATTAAGGACATTTTGTTTAGTCTTTCTTTAATTTACAATGATGACTGTTATTTTGTCTGGCATATAATTGTGTAGTAACTTTTCAATTACCACGCTGAGCAAGGAACAAGTGCGTAAAACCGATTAGGAACCTTAACTGATACTCTAAGAAAATATTTCACACATCTGATAAGATTCTATAAAAAATTACAAGTCTTTGTTTTATATTCTGAAGTATATTGATCCCCAGAGAGGTTAAATATCAAATACAAAAAATATTTGTGCAATTATAGGATAAATAATAAATACTCATATACAGCACATACAATGTGTATGACCAACTCTCACATTTTAAAAGAGTTACGTACTTCTTACAAATTAATCAGTAGCCAAGACATAAAACAGGTAATTTTCTAACACACAAGTTGCAAAATATATTAGAATGAATAATGTTTAATTATTCTTGCTTAGTTTTCTACTTACTTTCATGACTAGCTGTAATGTAAAACAAAACGTTTTTATTAGTGCCATCTTGTCAAGGATCTGTTTATTCATATGGAACTACAAATGTATTGCCTTTTTTAACTCATAATGCAGGCACATTCTTTTTCTTTATGTTCAGTAATGTTTTACAATAGCTCTTCCTGTTGTTTATTGTATTTTAAGTACTGCCAAACTCCAGATCTTTTTTGTTCCAGCTGAAAGCATGGAATACGGCAAGAAAGTACTCTGCGCCTTTTCTTTTTCTAATAAAGGTGCTCTAGTTTTCTTAATCAAATTAATACAGCGTATAAATCACATTATCTGGGTACACATCAATTAACACACTATAAGTGTTTATGATATGAGGTGTGGATAATACAAAACAAAAGAGATGAGGAAAGAAAGGACACACCCCAATACTTGAAACTGTCACACAGCAGTAGCCCTGAGGCACTGTGTTACAGCCCTAGGATTATACCCATGAGAGTCAGCACTTTGTTTGCCACACAGAAAGTTTGCCAGACAGAAGGTAAAGGCTCAAACTGTGAACCTCATGTAATGAAATGAATTTTCATATGAGTTTCAATCATTTATGTGGCAGGTGCAATTTGTATTGAATCTGTAGGTCTATGGAGAAAATTCAGAATTCAGTATGCTGATGAACATTTGTGAACAACAGGGTTGGTCCACAGGCGACCTAGCATGAAAGTCACCAGCCAGTAGCATGTGTGACCGCCACTGAAAAAAATACCAGCTGTACATCAGTGCTGGATGCTTCACATCTGGTTGCAGGCGGTGCCATGAGGGATTCTGTCCCATTCAGCTCATAGAGCCCTAGATCTATATCATATGTGCCTGTTTACTGGTCTCTGAGCTCTAGATGCTACAGTATATCATCCTAGCTCATCCAATAAATGGTCAGTGGGTTATCTTCCCTACTAAGAATAATGTTCTTATACGAGCAGACTGAAAATGTGTGCTATTCTCTTGGAATGTTTGCGCACAAGGATAAACCCGCAAGAAGGGAAGGAACTGAAGACCTAGGTATCAACCAATATAATGCTATGCAGTACTATTTTCCTATAAGTAGCTACAAGTAGAGTTCTATAGTGATTCCACTTGTATGGCACTCCAGACCAGACTATCTCACTTGGAGCTGTTTAATTAGCATATCATTCTGCACATCTGTACCATACACTCTGATATCCATCAGTGTGTTTTACCAGAACCTTGATTCATTCATACCAGGACTTGACTCCATAGCTAGCAGGTGCTCATGCAGTTTTCAAGAAATTGATGCCATGAAGCACTGTTTTCATGATACGCTGGACATAACTGGCTTCTTTCTATGATGATAATACTGAATTCACTTTTTTCATTGCTTTTAATATAACAAGAGGTTCATGAGTTCAAAATCTATAGTAGAAATCTTACATTTCACAAAACCAAAAAATTAATTACAGTGAAGTGGTTAAGTATTTGTGCAACTGGACAATAAATTGCACATTAGCAGGTATACTACATTGCCATCTGTGACACGAATATTTTAAGGAAAGGCAAGGCTAAACTGCTTTTCATTTTCAAGTAGCTTTCATTCGTGAAAAAAAAATGTAACCACATGCCTAAGTGGCCTTACATTGCATTAATTAATGTCTTTCTACATAACGATCGGAACTGTTAAAGTTGTGTTTGACTCAAGAAGTCTCTGCTAAGAGTATATAAAAAAGGTTTCTCTGGCAAACATTAATAAAATCATCTCAGTGCTATCTCACCTTGTCTGTGGAATCCAGATCAGCATCATGGTCCAGCAGGCACTCAACAATATCTCGGTATCCTCTGGATGAGGCAGTCAGAAGAGGAGTCTCCCCTTCTTTATTCTTAACATTGACATCGCAACCAGCTTCACAGAGAACTTTGGCAACGGGATAATAACCATGCCAGGCTGCACAATGTAAGGGAGTTTCCTGCTCCTGTAGAAAAAGTCCATTTTAGGTTTAACTAAACTTTTATGACTTTAGATATTAACACAGTTGAAGCACTGCTTCACACTGTTTAATTGAATCTGGAAAATACCCATCAAGTACATTTCTAGTGACTCGACAGTTAACATTTCAAAAGCAGAAAAGAAAGCCGACACTAGAGCATGCACAGCATTATATTCTCAGGGACGGTGTGAAAGCCAAGATGGTGTTAAAATCAAGTCACACAAACCTTGTCTCGCACATTTGGATTGGCTTGAATACTGCAGAGGTACTGGACCACATCTACATTCCCATACCTGGCAGCAACATGAAGAGCGGTTTCTCCAGACTGCCAAGGAAAAACACATTTTCGAGTATTATCATCTTTTTATTATTGTTCTTGCTGCGTTAACAATTTTGTTACACAATCATCAAATTAATGTACAATGGTCTTCAACTTTAGGGGAATAATGTGCTGCACATTATTGATAAGTGATAATACATAGTCACTGACTAATAACAGCAGCATTAATTTAAAAGAAATATTCTTTATCTTTTCATGCATTAATGTTTATGTCAGATGATCAGACACCCCAGTAAGTAATAGAGAAGCTTCACATGCCTGATGAGTATCTGAAGAGCAGACATACAGCAATCCTTGCACTTAAATTACATGAGCGAAATTTTACAAAGAAACCACCTTCTTAATAACTTCCCTTAAATACAAACTAAGAAACAGAACTTGAAAACCTGCCTGTGCAGTTCAAAGTGTAGGCAGTTCAGACCCTGTATCAAAATAATAAATGATATTTGAAAGACCAAATTCTTGGAATTAAATTGTGCAGAACTCACAGTGAAAGTAAAAAACTAAGAGGTGTTACAGGGTACATTTCACAGCCAGATCTGTATCCATGGTAACGACAAGTAATATTCTGAAAAGTACATTAATAGGCGACCATGCACATTTTTTTAATTAGCCGCTTCATAATTATATGAATGTTAAAGCCTTATTTTATGGCAACAGTACATTTTAGCATTCTGTTGCTGCACATTAGCCTCTCAGAAAGCAGATGTACAACGGTGCAGTGGTGGTGTATTTACCTTATCCTGAACATCCAGGGGGCACTTTCTTTCATTGAGGAATTTTAAGGTTTCTACATGACTATTTCGAGCTGCATAATAGATGGCATTTGCACCACACTGTGGAGTAGAAACAGGTTAGCCATTAGAACAGGTAATATAATGACAAGAAAGATTAACAGGACCTTGGCTATTGCCCGTGATTTCTCCTTTTGAAAACCATATATATTTAGCAATACAGACATTTCACAGGTGACTGTTTTATCATAGTATAGCTAAAGGAAAATTAAGAAATACACTGTATTAGTAAGCCATGGTACTCATTAAAAATAATTAAGAGTATCATTGCATAGATACCCACATATACATTTTGAAATGTATTAAATATATTTAAAAATTTTTGCATTTATGAAATATCCACTATAAATTTACTGAGACCAGAACTATGCAGGAAACAGGGTGGTGTCTTTATTGACTCATTCATGCATTTTGTAATTTAGAGGTTGCCCATAACCACATGTATCCTGCATGATTCCTACCTTGTCTTGTGCCTGAATCTCTGCTCCCTTTTTCATCAGCAGATCAAGTATCTGAATGTTTCCACATGCTGCTGCTATGAGAAGGGGAGGTGTTCCATGCTAAAGCATGAAAAACGATTAATCTACAATTAACACCTGCAACTATGCAACTTAATTTCACACGTCATTTCTTATTCATAGCATATTTATACTGAGGGAATTATAACAATGACAATATCATAAATATGTCAGTTTTTATATGTTGCAGTAGTTTGATACGTTTTAAGCAGTATTTCAAACGTTTTCTGTTATCATCCAAGGTTAAAAAATGCACACAGTGTAAGGGAAAACGTTGTATTAATAAAGCATGCAAGTTAACCAAAAAGATGCAGAGCTGGATGCCTCCTGGTGATGCAATGGTCATTATTTTTTTGCTGTTCAAAACAATTTATCACAACCCTCCCCCATGAAGTTTCACTTAACAACACAAACATAATTGTCATTGCTTTCTTTAGCAATGTCTCAGAACTGAATAATATCCAGTGTTCTGCGATATGATCTGTATATAAAACCTGCATTTTGGGATTGAACTACAGTTTGTACTGTGAGGCCTTAAATTTTTTATCATATTTAACTGTTTTAGACCCTTTAAAAACATTATTTTTACCAAACCCCATTTAGACCCTGAGAGAAAACTATTAAACATTTTTTTCTTACACAAAATACTGCTATTTACACTTTTCAGTTGAGAAAACTGCCATCACTCTACTTGATTTTACACACAGCTTTTCATGTAAAGCAGAAAATGGAAAAGTTGTCTAGTGCTTTTTTCACCTTCTGTTTTTTACCTAATGGCCTTCTTATTGAAAACAAACAGTACCTGCATGAGAGCTACAGAACATGTATGGAGTTTCTTTATAAAGAAAGTCTTCAAAATTTACTGCTGAGAAATTCAGAGTCTGTATTTCTACCTTGTTAGGCTGGTTGATGTCATAACTTGTCAGAGATCCAAGAAGGTGTTGCAGCCCAGGGACATTGTCATCATTGATGGCATGAATAATTGCTTTCATCACAAAGGAGTCTTCATCATCCTTTAAAAAATACAGCATTTATTTCAGTAATTTTTTTGTCTTATTAGGGAATAGGTGTTAAAACTTGCATGTGTTTTGAAGACATTACTTTATGACTTTCCTTATTAAGTTTTTTTTTAAATAAGTTAATTTTATTTACTTGAAGTCATTTTTAGGGTTTTAGATTAAACAAATAAAAAGGACTTTACTAATCAGAAAAATAAAGTATTACTCAGTAACAGTGAATCACTATTTAAAGAAGCCTTTGATTTTGTGATAATCCCCTTAAATAGTGATTTTCTAAGAAAGTATTGTCTTATTGGTTTGTAAATGCAGCTTGTGACCCATAATCTTCAGCATAATTTGACAATTCCAAAATATGACTCTTGTATATGAATGCTCAGCTGCACAGCTTGGATGTAACAGCTAAAGGGAAAAGACTAAACCCATTCAAGCATTCACAGATGCACTCAACCAGCAACGTGCAAGTCAGAACCTAAAGCTCCAGATATTGCTTTACTGGATCAGAATATATTAGGCTAAATCTAAGGCTCACATTATAATTGGGTAAAACAAAAGAGAATCTGGTTGAATGCAACACAGGAGCTGGATTTGCAACTATTGTTATAAAATGCAGCAGTAAATTCAAATCAAGTCCCAAACATTTTACAACACATAAACTACCTTTATATAAACATACATAGTGGACGTGCAATATGGGTCTAAATTTATAACTGCAGATAGGTAAAATATTGCATGTTAACTTCTTTCACTTTCATAATTTAACTTGAAATTTAAATATGCAGATTTGTACATCATCACTGGCATTGGTGGAAACATGAAACCGGAAGTTAATTATTTTCAGCTCCTAAGGCAAGCCCTGCTGCTCAGGATTAAACAAACTCTGGTGAAGATGCTGTGTCAATTAGCCCTAGAACACAGATTTCTGTATTCTCAGAGGACTACTTATATCCGTGTACTGTTTCTTACTTTCCCCATACCACATTCATCACTATCCCAATTGTGTTTTTTAAAATCAAATTACAATGTATTTTATATACTGATGGAATTGTCTCCCATTCTCAAGAATTCCCATCTGTGGACAACTACATAGATTTAAAAGCTCACTTTAACAGTGTGAAAATAACTCAATTTAGAACTTGCAAGATATCTGCAGATCTTTTTCTTCTTAAAGGAGGGAGTATATTGTAAATCATACATGACATTAACAGCACTAAGACAACTTTTGAAGACAATATAAGTTCATCTTCATTATGTTACTTACTAGAGTATCATCGCTCCGTGCAACACTGATATTGCTTCTAGACAGAAAAGATCTTGACAGCCGATTACACAAGGAGATGAGACGTACTGATTGCTGAACAAAACAAAAACATTTTTATAATGAAAAAGAAATGATACCAAGGATTCATTTATCACGTAACTTAACATGACCTTAAAGTTACGCAACATCCAATAACCTAGAATTTTATCTTAAAATTCTTCTTATTTATGGAAGGAGTATTTAGGGGTATTTCAAAGTCACAATATGATGTTTTATCTTTCTTAAACCTTTCTTGCTAGCAGTTAAAAACAAACTGATAGCAAATTGTATAATTGAGAATTCCATTAAATGTTTACAAAACTGGTACATGATATTTATATTATTGATTATTATATTATATTTCATTCTAAAGCATAACTATCTTCATAGTAAAATGAACAGGATTATAAATATGTTCAGTTCTAAATTGAAAGCCACAAATCTGAGATGTGTATACCGAGATGTATACCGAACTTATAAGGATTTGTATGAGTTTTACATACAAACCTTTATGTGGAATTTGAGCAGTAATGATCCCAATCAGATATGAAAGGTTATATAAATATTCTGTGCATTTTCATCAGTCTTTCAGCAGTAAAGAAAGATATTTACATTATGATTTACAAAGCTGTTTCCTTAATGGTAATACTGGTTTTGCTTACGAAGACTAATTGTTTAAGAAAAGCAACGTAAGTTTCTGTAGCAAAGAGTGAAAATGTTTATAAGTGGAAGCTTTAAACCATTCACCTATTCAGAAAAAGTATATACCACAATAGATCAAAAAGAAGATATGAAATATATCCCTCATTAGTTAAAAAACTTTTTAAAGCTGTAGAAAAATATTTTAAGTGATATACAGCATACAAAATACTTCTTTTCAAGCCATCAGGATCATTTCCATCAGAACAGGTCAAGAAATGAAAATGTCACACTCAAAGCAAAATCTAGACTTGATTAACCATTAACTGCTTAGCAATAAGAAAATCAGTTTCTCAGCTCCTTAAAGATTTTTGTTAAAACTCAATTTAACAGGTTTGATTAGACTAGAAGTGTAGATTTATTTGACTTTTGATAATTAACATTAAACAATTTTGATTAAAAATATCATTATATCACAACTTATCCCATTCAGTGACAAGTTTCCTAGGCTGAATAAATATAGAACCAAACATACCTTCCATTTTCTTCGGGCTGCAAACTTTTTAAGTTTTTCCACATTTACTGCTGATTCTTTTCTACTGAGTGCTTGCTGTGTGTCCTTAGGCTAAAAGCAGAGAAAAAGACACTGTTAAAATGCATTTATTGTACAAAATAATGGCTGAAAAATGATTTACTATTGAACTTATATTCATAATTTCAGTCTACTTTACAATGACCCTACATTTATTTGTTAGAAAAGGGTATGTTTTGCATGAGCTCATTCCATGCAAAAACACATTAGATTAAATCCCACAGCTGGACCAACCTTAATCCATGGATGGTGTAAACTATCTTGAATTGTCATTCGTTTTCTGCCAGAAAACAAAAAAATAAGAGAATTCTTAGTTTGTGCAGTCTAGCACTGTACTGCGCTTAGGAATATTTAGAGAGCTTCATTGTCATGGAATATGTTTAATACCAGATTCATTTTCTCCCTCCTCTGTGTAGTAGATAACTTTAAGTTTACAGACTTAGAATGGTATTTATGATTATATAACTGCCACCTTCAAGTCTGCTTGATCTAGATATTGCATAAAAACTGTTGTCAATATAACCATTAGGTTTGTATGTGGTAAAACACAGACAATAACTTCCATGTTTGTCAAGTTTTAGCTCTCTTTTAAAACTCTTGCATCACTAGATCAGAGAACAGCAGAGATTCAGTTAATGAGAAGTAGGGAAAATGCAGAACAGGAGTACAAAGGAGAAATGTATAATCTGCTAATGTTTGGTTAGAGAGTAAAACATGCATATAAACCAAAACAGGAAGCAAATAATGTTTCAGAAAGCAATGTCATAGGTCAGCTGTTTGAATCTTCCAGACAGCAGTGCTCTGTAAGAATACTGCAAGAAGCCAACAGGGATTTTTTACCACAGCTGTGGTATCACTCAAACTGTTCTCTCTAATTTGTCAAACAGGTAGGATTTTTCTATAATCTCCGAGATTTTTCAGAGAGCAATATTTCCTTTATGAGAAAATAGAACATTAGTTTGGATTTTACTACATCATTAAAATCCACAACTGATTTTTTGGGAGATAGTATAATACAATGTTTAAGAGTAACAACTCAAAGGAAATATTAAACATACTTTGGATCTTTTATCAAAAGCCTTCTAATAAAATCTTTAGCTAGATTGCTTGTATTACTGAAGAACTCCTCATCAAACTCGTAGTTCACTGCAGATACATTTGCCAAAGTCTCTTGCTTGTTATCACCCAGGAAGGGAGAGGCTCCACTCAAGCTGTAAAATAAGAAAAACACAGGAAAAAATGCTGTGGAGTTTCATAAAAGCCTGAACTAAGTGGAAAAAAATAAGGAACTGAAATTAAAACAAAACTGAAGCTTATTTCATAACTGATGAATCTTAAGCCTATTAACCTAGTACCTCCAGAAACAGAACAAACTTATGTTCAGGACTGGAAAAAGGTCTAAAAATATTAAAGCAAAAGAGCACAACATTGAAAACCTGCCCATGAATAGAACAGGCATTATTTGAATCCAAAGAATTGCACTTGACAATCCCTGTCAAGATCCCTGGATCTTATTATTTCTTATTAAGAAGATAAGAGAATTTAATGATTTCAAATTGAGACAATGTGACAATTTGAGCTTTGTTCCATTCTTAAATCCACTAATTTGAATGTTCCTCCAATATTTAATGTATACACGACTAAATTAAAAATATTTGAACACAAATCAATTTTTAAGCCACGGCACCATACAGTTCAACTGAAATATTTCGACTGGTAATAAAGTACAGGAGCAAATCTTTTGTTATGGTATTAGCTCAGGAAATGGCTTTCATATGCAAATGACCTGCAATAAGACAAGAAGCAGGTTTAAGAATGTGGCTCAACCAGTAAAGCCATTAGCCCAGGTGTCTGAGCTCTATGGGCATGGGGTCGAACCCGGGGTCATGTCACTAGCTGACCGTGACCAGGATTCTCCAGGCAATGATGCCCGATTGACATTTAGCTCATCTGTGTCACAAAAACCCCTGCAACCTCCCAGCCAACTGTCATACTATCAGCGAGAGACATGTCTCTTCTCCAGGTCGGCAGTGTGGAGGCTGGGGCCGTGTTAAATGATGATGGCTGAAAGGTAGGTAGGTTGGAGCTGTATGAGTCCCAAGATTAGCTATTCCAAATTTATGGAACAAATGGAACAAAAATATTTGGCAATTCTTTTTAAAAAAAATAGTTTAGATTTAAAAAGTTGTCATTTTGGAAGGGGTTTTTAGTTATATCCTGATATTAAACCAGAATAAATGTAGAGGTGTCGCTAGTTATTTACCGAGAGGGATTTCAAAGGTCACACACTGATTCTGTTTCTATAACCATCAGATATTATACATTATGCCACTCTTAAGAAACAATTAACTTTTAAAATCAGAATAAGTTAGGAAATCAAATTTATCTATGTAATCTTAATAAAGGTGGTAATGTTTGTAAGAGAAAAATAAAAAGTTCCCCTTCTTTCAAGTCAAACTTGGTCTGAGTTTATAAGTGTGTATTGAAATAGTTTTAGAGTGGAAAGAAATTACCACAGTTTAACAGTTCTGCCCATATTCAACATTTTTAATTAACATGAAATATTTATATATATGGATTTTCTGCCTTTTGTCATTGCTAAATAACAGGTTTTTAGATTCACACAGAGCTAAAATAACCTGTTATTCTGGAGTCCAAAACCTACAGGAACATTTGCCTAAGCAAAAAAAAAAACACGAAACAAAATTTCCACAGCTAATTCAATCTTTTTGCAATGATGCTCCCTAGAATTTTAATCAAAAAGCAATTCGGTTTTGTATGTTAAAAATAATACATCATGTGAAGTGAAGACCGTGAAGAGACGATAAAACCTTCAGTCTATTTTAGAGAATCGGTGACCATGAAGTAGGTGGAGTGGGAGTAGAAATCTGACAAAGAATGAGGAAATGGATCTCCTGTCTTATGGGGATATGTTTTATTAAACAAAAAGGGGAAACAATTACTTCACTGCAGGTGGAGTGGAAGATGAAATGTGAAGCGGGGGGGTCACAAGCCACAAACCCAAGGTCTATAATGGGAAAGTCACTGCTTTTACAAGAGCTAACAGCTTGTGAGTGGAAATTCACATCTAACTCAGTGTGGAAAGAAGATCCCTTTTTGTCACTGTTGGGGGTCTTCATTTGCTGAAGTGGAAAAGATTGGCTTCTAGCTGAAACCGAAAAAATTATAGTTCAATAGATCAAAAGCAGCCTTATTAATATTTTCTCTATTTAAAGAAGTTATAGGAAAAGATCTGCTTTGCAAATGTACCTCAGTGGACAATGTCATATTAAAAATGAATAATGTTCTGTTTTTGTAGATTAGTTAGAATTAGTTCCAATCTACACAATCTAAATCTACAAAGTCGATGAAGTTATAACTTTATAGAAGCATGTTATTTCAAGCTTTTCAAGCAAATCACACAGTATCTTGATGTTTTTGTGAATTACAGATATAATGCACTCTTGAGTGGCCTTCTTGAAAACATAGTGTATTAAATAAAATAAAAACTAAATTATATGAGAAAAATAAAACACTTGTATTTTGTGAATTACAATTAATATTTTTGTTTACTTACAGAATATATGTTATCACCCCAACACTCCTGAAAGTAAAAAGAAAAGAAAAAATGACCAAATAGAAATGCCAAGCTTATATAGATTTAAAATGATCTAAAGAATGAATTTCTTACCACATATCTGCTTCTAGGCCTAAAGGTTCATAATTGACTACTTCTGGAGCTAGAAAAAAGGAGAAACATATTCATAGTAAGCGATTCATGACTGCTGTGCAGCTTGGAATAAACATTAGTTTTAGTGTTGCTTTCTTAGTGTAAGACACAGTAAAATTGAAGGTGAAAATCTCAGAGATTGCTTGCAATAATAAGGTTGCCCTGCAGCAAAAGAGAGGAGTGAAATAGCACTATAATTCTCTGGTGTGACCTGGAGGACCCGAAAACGTAACTGGCTCGATAACAACTGTAAAAGCAGAGGCACGACTGTTGCAGACTGTTTATGACATTGCGGCCCCTGGCTCTTCTATTTAAGTGGTCATAGCCTCCTTTCGAAATTGTATTCTTTTGCTGTTACAGCTGTGTTTTTTTGTTAAGGTGGAAAAGGCAAACATTATTTATGGTTCAAGCTCCTTTGTACCCTTTATCTTATCTTTTATCTTGCATCTTGGCCAGAGGAAAAAATAAATAAAATACAATGTCACAGATTTTGCAGAATATGCATTACCATTTCTTAATTCATAATATTATCTTAAATTTAAATATTTAAAACAGCAAAGGATAAGATGATCATATTTACTTTAATATGAAGAAGAATGTTAAACCACATTAACATTTTAACCACTGCCAAACAATCTTAAGAATAATACATTCTGTAAAAATATACACTAGATAACCCCTGTTCCTTTGATGCATAATAACTTCCATTTTACTAATGCTGTACCAGTGGATTTCAATTTTCTTGATTTGAAATATTCACAGCCATGTTATTTAGCGTTCATGGGCTTAAAGCTCCTCCAGCCTGTCTCAGAACTACAGCTATTATTTTGTATTGAAATTAAAACATTTAACATAACCATGGCAAGTGTAGAGCAGCCAAAGAGTAAATGAAAACTTTATTAACAAATCTTTAAAAACAAATTTGACAACTAAGGCACTGACTTTAATTTTACTGTGGCTGTGCATACTGTGCAGCAGTTGACTCAAATCAGAGTCTATGGGTCTATTTGTTTACATATATTTCTCAGCTAGACTGCGGTGCAGTGGCACTGTGGCTAAGGATCTGTGCCTGTGGCTGGAAGGTTGCCAGTTCGTATCCCGTGGCCGGCAGAGGAATCCTACTCTGTTGGGCCCCTGAGCAAGGCCCTTAACCCCAACTGCTCCAGGGGCACCGTATAAATGGCTGACCCTGTGCTCTGACCCCAAGCTTCTCTCCCTGTGTGTCTCATGGAGAGCAAGTTGTGGTATACGAAAAAAGACGAATTCCAAGATATTGTATATGGCCAATAAAGTGATCTTAGAATAATATCTTATCATTTTCAAATAGCATCCACGGAGGGTGGAGGCTTAAAGACAGAATGGAGGTTCTTTTTGAAAAAAGCATCCGCAGCAGCCGGTGGCCAGGCAGGCAATAGTTGCCACTTCCACCTCATCTATCACAAAAGTCAGTGTCTGTAAGGTAGGGTATTCGCAAGGATTTGGTGGAAGCAGCCAAATTCGCATATAATAAAGTCGACCCCCATACCGTTGCATTATGTACTACAATATAGGATGCAAGATTAAAAGATAAGCATGTTTATAAGTTAATTATAGTACTAATCCATTGTCTTTAAGTTAATTTCATTGATAACTAGATGAAAACTAATCACACACTTATAGTTATTAGTGAAAATAAACAACATGATTCCCTCTACATCTATTCCCTCTGTAATGAAAAGAAGAATAAACTGTCAGTGAGCCTGTAAAGTCATCTTTAGCCTGCTGTTCCCCACACTGCTGACACAGAACCAGGAGCGTTCAGTACAATATAAAAACAAGACCATGCTGAGGTGCACATTCGGGCAGTGGGGACCCGGGTGGGCAGTAGAGGGAGACTCACTCACTAGCTAGCTAGTTTCCTCTCGTGATCCTAGTCTGTTGCACTGCTCATTTGAACGTTGATCTTAACAAGCTTCAGCTCAACCCACTGTACTTTTCGTTTACACAAAATCTCCGTCGGCCAAAGCGAATTGCAAATAGGTGGATTTGTGAAAGTTAAATTCACAGATGCCAAAGCCTTACTGTACAATATAGTGAATTCAGCACAAACTGAAAAAAGACATTATTATGTACCATCAGAGGAAAATGTAACGTAGATACTAACCTACAAATTCTGGAGTACCAAAGATGTTTTTGAAATCATTGCCAAAATCAATTTTGTGAGCCAGCCCAAAGTCAATGAGTTTAATGCGGGGATGAGGCACATTTCTGTTTAGCAGCATGATGTTTTCAGGCTGTGGGAAATCAGGAAAACAAGAATCAGACATGCAAATCAGATGCAAAAGTATTGGATGTCCTTCCTGGAAAACAATTATGAGTTCATCTACAGTGCAGCACTAAAAGAGCGAAAAAAAAAATCAAAAATAGGAATGGACATTTAGTTTTGCTGTCTGCAACAATTAAACAAGTTTTCTAATGTTCTTCTAAGGTTCTATTACATTTTTTATAAAATACTGAGTCTGGTGTACACTGTATTTTCTTGTGATCTCAAAATGACTATTATATATAAACTGATGGACAGATACACTAGAATGACTGTTTTTGTAATGATCTGTTGTCATCTAGATTTCTCAGTTGATGTTTATATAACAAAAAGCTTTTACATTCTACAATCATTGAAAAATTACACTTTTCTATATTATATTAATTTACAACATATACCATATATATTCTAAATGTATATCATACATTTAATAAAAATAAAACATGTCTATTAAACAAATATTTAAGATACGTCTACATCTTGTCTCATCCACAATTTTGATACAATATTGTTAAAATCTTGCATGAAAATGTTAAAATCTATGTTACTGCTGAAAATACTGAAGATGCAAAAGGGACAATGGGAAATTCAGCAGTGAAACATCACATGAGGGCATAAGTGCAATCTGAGGACAAATGTGAGAGGATAATAATGCTTAATAAAAAGACACAACTGATGTCATGTGGATGGAAAGGGAGTTTATTCAACATTCAATATTCGCTGAAAACAGGAAGCTTCAAGATCACAATACAAAACAAAAAAATACCCCAGCAACAGGTTTTCATCCCAAGTAGCTTCTTTCTAGTTTTCAGAATAAAATTACATGTACCTTCAGATCAAAGTGAGCGATTTGCTTGGAATGCAGATAGAAAACTCCATCAAGGATCTGCTTCAGAAACTCAGTGGCTTCTTCTTCTGAAAGGGATTCTTTCTCAGCCAGAAAGTCAAAGAGCTCTCCCCCTGCCACACTGGAAGAAACATGATATCATTATTTAAAAAACAGTTAACCGATGGATGAAAACCTTTTGTTGCTCTTGGGGTAGCAGAAGATGGACACAATACTACAATGCAGTAAATACATTTTTATTACAACTGAACACTCTGTGTTAATATTAATAAAACCTACATTATAGAGTATGAAGTCTATTATTTAGAAGAAATTAAAAGATGTTAGACTTCCATAAAGTTTACAAGTTCCTTTAGTTAAAGTAATACAAGTCCACTGACAAGTATACTTAATCTTTCCCCAACAAAATCTTATCACAACAATTTTGTCTAGTCAGAGGCTACTGTGATGCCCTGTCATTTTCTGGTATTAACGTTTTAAAATTAAAAAACAAATTGCATAATTATAGATGCTGGAATCCATCAAGACACTTTCAGTTAAAACAACGAAATGCAAATTCATAATTTCATTTAAGATGCTTTAAATATTTGAATGAACAGTCTGTATTATATAGGGTATTGCTGTGTCATGGTTTGTTGCATGCTGGTATAGAGATTACAGTGTTTAAGTGAAATCTGGATTTAAATACCAAAATGTATTGATATGTGTATTTCATGCTACTTGGAAGTACTCTGAATGACACATTAGAAATGGAAATGAAGTGGGAAAAACAACATTAACAATTCCCCACCAATAGTTTTAATTGTACCAGTTACAGTTTATTGCAATTTAGTATTAGTTATCATTTACATAAATCTCAAGATCACTAATATCTGGATGGGAGACCTCCTGGGAAAAACTAAGGGTTGCTAACGGAAGAGGTGTAAGTAGGACCAGCAGGGGATGCTCACCCTGCGGTCTATGTGTGTCCTATTGCCCTAGTATAGTGACGGGGACATTATACTGTAAAAAGGTGCCATCCTCTGGATGAGACTTAAAACCGAGGTCCTGACTCTCTGTGGTCATTAAAACTCCCTGGGCGTTTCTCGAAAAGAGTAATGGTGTAACCTTGGTCAAATTTCTCCCTGGCCTTTACCAGTCATGACCTCCTAATAATCCCCATCTATGAATTGGCTTCATTACTCTGTTCTTCTGCCCACTGAGAGCTGATGTGTGGTGAGCGTTCTGGCGCACTATGGCTGCCATCGTATTATCCAGGTGGATGCTGCACATTGGTGGTGGTGGAGGGGAGTCCCCATTACCTGTAAAGTGCTTTGAGTGGAGTGTCCAGAAAAGCGCTATATACTGTAAGTGTAAGCAATTATTATTATTCACTCATTCTCAGACATAACCA